ATGAATAAGGATGACAGAAAAATTGACACCTTTGAACTGTGGTGTTGGAGAAGAACACTGAACATCCCAGGGACGGCCAAGAGAACAAACAAATAGATCTTACAAAAGGTGCAGCTGGAGTGCTCTTTGGAGGCAAGGATGATGAGGCTTCCTGTCACATATTCCAGGCACATTGCTAGGAAGGGCTATTCCCTGGAGAAGGACACGATGCTGGGAAGGGTGGAGGCTTGGTGAAGGAGAGGAAGAATCCTGCCCAGGTGGATTGACTCGGTGCAATGGACTCTAGTGTGTCAGGAAGTGTGAGGACGGCACAGGATAGGACAGGGTTCAGATCCACTGTTCGTAGAGTCGCTGTGAGTTATATTCAACTTGAGGGCACCTAACAACAACAACAATTGCAATTAATTGCTACTTGTAACAAAATTAACTATTTACAATTGGCCAATTAATCCAAGGGAGCTCTAATGGCTTAGAAGGAAGGAATCATACTGTCAATCTGTGGTACATGGTTCAAATCCACCAGTTGCTCTGTGGGAGAAAGATGGGCAGTCTCTTCCTGTGTGATTTACGGCCTCTAAAAACCACTGGAGGGTCAGCTATGGGTCAGTTTCAAGTTGACAGTTAACAACCGCAATTATTAAACACAGTTATTTAATTACTTACAATTAAAAGCTATTGTACAGAAGGTCTCTATGAGTCACAGGCGACTTGACGGCACATAACAACATGCATTACTTACAATTGCTTGATTTATTTCTTATTTACCTAATTATTTTGTTTTCTTACTTACATTTTACAACTACTTGTCAGTCATAATTTTTAACTACAACTATACTCACTGAATTGTAACACATTTAAAAAGGACAAAATAGCAAATACTCTTTTCTATGTACTTTATCACAATAATTTTTTTTATACCTTTTTTTTCTGTTGTGTACTGTCGAATCAGATCCGACTGACACAGGAGGAGACTGCCTCTCCTTCTCCAGGAGAGCATCTAGTGGATTTGAACCAGGTGCCTTCAGGATTGCAGCGCAGCTTCTTGCCACTAGGCCACCAGAGCTCCCTCATAATGTTGTTGTTATGTGCCGTCGAGTCGCTTGCGACTCATAGCAACCCTATGTACACCCATCAACAAACGAATGGCTAGAGAAGCTGTGGTATATTCGCACAATGGAATACTATGCTGCATTAAAAAACAAGGAACTCATGCAATA